CTCCCACGTGGAAACCATTTGGTGGCCTCAGCCCCAGCCGAGGCCACAAAGAGCACGAAGGGGTTGGGAACTCGGACCTCCTGGGAGCACAGTGTGGGCAGGGCCACAGCAGGCTGTTTTGGGAGACCCTCCCCTCCCCACTATGATACTCACCCCCCCTTCCTCTCCCCTCCAGCGCCCCCTGCATGCTGCAGAAGAGCTGAGAGCAGAGGGCGGGGGGGATGCAGGTGGTCGGGGAGGCGTCTGGGGGTGCTGAGCACTCACTGTATTTTCACTCCTCTTGTGCCTGCTGAGCAGCAAGGGGCAGGTGGAAGTGGGGAGGGAGCCGCCCTCCTCCCTCCTGTCCCCTTCCCGCGCCTCCCAGCATGGCCCCCCCACCTGAAGGTCAGGCCCCGCCCAGATTTCCCCTCCTAGCTGCGCCCCGGCAGTGGTGATCTGAGCTCTGGGCGGGAAGGGAATTGCATGGCACTGAGCACAGCGCCCCCTGCTGGGCCGTACAGGGTAGAGCCGTCACTCTCCAGCCCCTGCGTGTTCTGTCTCTGCCCTCACCGCCGTTCTCCTGAATCCTCGCACCCGGGTCCCCGGGAACTGATGTTCCTGGCTCCAGAGACTCCTGGGGCCTGGAGGGACCTTCCCCAGCCCCTGGTGTGAGCTGCCGTGTGACACGGGCCAGGGACCCTCACACAGTGATTCTGTGCTGAGCCCGCAATCTCTGTGAGCTCCAGCGTGTCTGTTCGACAGGTGTCCGGCCTTGACCGAAGGGCTCCAGGGGAAGGAGAATCCACCATGTCCCCCCGCAATTAGTGTTAGGGGGAACAGCCCTTGCTGATAGCAATGTGAACCTGGGTAGTTCTTGGTGTGCTTGCTCATACGTGTTCCAGTTAAGTTGCATACGCACCGCATGCACGACTACCGGAAGTTTTTCCCTAGCTGTGACCCTTGGGCTGGATGTGAAGCTCCCTGAAACGGCGCTGGTGCTGCACACTGTATATGGCCCTGCCGACCCAAGCACCCCTCAGTTCCTTCCTACCGCCATCGACGGCTGTTGGAGCTCGTGGCTCTCTTGCTTTGCAAGTCCCTCGTATCCCTCACGCAACCAGCTCTGTGCTGGGTGTCCGGTTAGATTAGTAGTTGTTCAGTTAGTGTTGGTGTTCACAGCTGGAGGTGAAGGGGACTTTCCCTTCTAGCCCATGTTCTCTTCGGGGCCCAAGGCAGGCCAAGGTCCCAAGACTTCAAGGTGCCAGGGTGCTGAGAGTTGTCAGATGTCATTGCGGCGCCGTTGGCCATTATCTTTGAAAACCTGTGGAGATCGGGAGAGGTCCTGGATGACTGGAAAAAGGTAAATGTAGGGCCCATCTTTAAAAAGAGAAGAAGGACGATACAGGGAACTACAGACCAGTCAGCCTCACCTCAGTCCCCGGAAACATCATGGAGGGGATCCTCAAGGAATCCATTTTGAAGCACTTGGAAGAGGGGAAAGTGATCAGGAATAGTCAACATGGATTCACCAAGGGCAAGTCGTGCCTGACCAATCTGATTAGCTTCTATGATGAGGTAACTGGCTCTGTGGACATGGGGAAGGCAGTGGACGTGATATACCTCAACCTTAGCAAAGCTTTTGATACGTCTCCGACGGTATTCTTGGCAGCAAGATAAGGAAGTATGGATTGAATAAATGGACTGCAAGGGGAATAATCACTTCCCTAAATCTGTTGGGAAGTGCACCTCCTAATGCACCCAATACGCCGTTAGCCTTCTTGGCTACAAGGGCACCTTGTGGACTCCTATCCAGCTTCTCATCCACTGTAACCCCCAGGTCCTTGTCTGCTGAACTGCTACTTAGCCAGTTGGTCCCCAAATGATTCAGGACCTGGAGCACATGACCAATGAGGAGAGGCTGGGGAATTTGGGCATGTTTAGTCTGCAGAAGAGAAAAGTGAGGGAGGATTTGAGAGCAGCCTTCAGCTACCCAAAGGGGGGTTGTGATGGGGTGGACAAAGCCTGAGCTCCCTACTGGAGTCCCCCCCCTGCAAGCCACACAGAGGGGCGGGCAAAAGAAGCTTGATTTCCGGCCTCTTACTGGATGCTGCCTCACCCGTACACAGGTGAGTAGAGACTGTAAGACTCCCCTCAGCCACCAAAGGATGCTTGTCTGAAGGGTGGAACCCTTTACAGGGGTTCCAAAGAGGCTGGCGAGAGGCTGTTCTCCGTAGTGACGGATGCAGAACAAGGAGCAATGGGCTCAAGTTACACAAGGGAAGATCTAGGTTGGATAGTAGGAAAAATGATTTCCGTAGGAGGGTGATGAAGGTTAGAGAAGAGGAGTCCTGACTTGATAACGCCCTGGCTGGGATGGCTTAGTTGGGGTTGGTCCTTCTTTGGGCAGGGGGCTGGACTTGATGATCTCCGGAGTCTTTTCCAGTCCTAGGATTCTGTGATTCTATGATTCAGACCCTGCAGGTCTTGCCTTAAATGACCCTCCTCCCTGCAACGAATTGTGTCTCCGGTGCCTGGGGAAAGGCCACTGGATGGACAAGTGAGATCTGCAAGGCCTTCAGGCCCTGCACCAGAAAGGAGTGGGACTTTTGCTTGAAGCAGCTCCTCATGGAATCTGCTTTGAGATCTCAGATGGAGAATCCGGTGCCAAGTGCTTCAGTGCACAACACGCCTCCTTTGGATCCAGGAGTGGCAGTAAAAAGGAAACCCCTTGGTACCACTGCTCCCCTGCGGCATCCACCTGGCGCTACTCTCACTCCCCGGCACAGCCTTCCTAAGCGGCCAGGTCCTCAGCGTTGGCGTGTCCATCACCGGCCGCTCCCTCTGTACCTGTGGTGTTGGCAGCCCCTTAGTGTTCCTGGACACACGGCACCGAACCATCCTGCCCTTCCTATGCACCAAGTCCCATCCTCTTGGAGTCTCCGAGGGGTGAACCATTGGCGATGGGCCTGTCCTTCCCACAGGACACCTTCGAGGCCATACGGGGCCTCAACGAGATGACGCAGTCCCCATGGTGGGACAAGGCCTTCACCTCCCACCAGCCTTCACGGGGGAATCTGGCCATGATAGTCCCACCAATTCCAGCCCCTGCCTGACTTGCCGCATCAGTCACACTTGCGGCATTGCTCTCGCAGCCGGTCCCCTTGGAGCCGTTCTCCCTCCAGGGCTGCTTTGGAGAGCAGATCTTGTCGGCTTCACGGTCTTCGTAACTCTCCGGCCATTCCCATGGATGACATCAAGAGGCCTCACAGTGCCACTCGAGTTCTGCCTTGTCCAGGAATTGTCGATGTTCCTCTTCGTCTTGGTACCGTTTTCCAGCACAGAGGGGATTTCCCGGCACTGTACCGAGGTCTGGCATCGCTCTGCAGAGTACGGACCTTCATCCCATTGCCGCTATTTGGAGTGTGCATCTTCGCCCCGGCACCGGCCTTCAACACAGTATTCTCAGCGCTGGTCCCACTCGCCATGTTGGTCTTTTTCTTCGTGCCACTCCAGGTTCTTGCCATACCGTTTTCCAGCACAGAGGGGATTTCCCGGCACTGTACCGAGGTCTGGCATCGCTCTGCAGAGTACGGACCTTCATCCCATTGCCGCTATTTGGAGTGTGCATCTTCGCCCCGGCACCGGCCTTCAACACAGTATTCTCAGCGCTGGTCCCACTCGCCATGTTGGTCTTTTTCTTCGTGCCACTCCAGGTTCTTGCCAAGG